TCTTGTATAAGATGCATGGATAATGGAATACACGAAATTTCTACAACCCGCTCAGGAAGACAATCGAATGAAATTTTTAGGGACAAAACAAGGGTGAAATAATTATATATGGCACTCTGAATATGAGAAATATCACATTTCTGATAAAGAACATGCAGCAGTTTTCAACAAACTTTCAACGCAGCAAGAGAAACCAGCGATTTTAAAAACTTATGCCAGGATATGTTTATAAATACTTTTTAATGGTCAATCAGTCATTGTCGACAGGGGAGTTTCCTTCACCCTTGAAGTTGTCACATGTTCGTCCATGTTTGAAAAACGGGAATCTTGACAAGGAGATTTTTAAGAACTGTCGTCCGTTGGCTAATATTCCCTTTCTTAGCAAAGTTATTGAGAAGGTAGCAGCAACACAAACATACAACTATCTTGAATCTTACAACTTGCTACCCACTATGCAGTCTGCGTATAGGAAACACCATTCTACGGAGACAACTTTGCTCCGTTTGGCAAACGACTTTCTGAGAACGACTAACCGCCGACGAGATGTTGTATTAGTCCTTCTTGATCTATCGGCGGCTTTTGATACCATTGACCATGTGATTCTGGTGGAAAGAATCGAATCCTACTTTGGTTTCTCACAATCCGGGGGCGCTGTTATAGAAGAGCTCTCGTCGTTCAAGCTGTTAGGCGTCAACTAATCCAATGATCTTTCCTGGGGGACGCATGTTGACTATATGACAAAATTGTTTTAGGCGCCAAATTAAACTATTTCTACATGCGTTAAGGTGATTCCTCAGAAAAAAAAAAGTATCGAGTGATAATTTTTAAAATTCCCTCAAAGGTTCTCTATCAATGCTTTTTTCGAAAATTATTATAAAAATTAAAAGCTTGTTTAAGAGGTATGACGAGCCAGACTCACCATTCATGCCAGTACTAGCAGTTATTACGCGGGTTATTTCATCGTTTTACGGTACATCGTGTGGTAGCTGGAAGCTAGGGCTTTTGAAGAAACAATTAGAAAAATATTGATAGGTACAAGTTATTGAGCATATGGAACAATTACAGATATATAATTTTTTGAAAAAATTACGAAATTTAAACGACATCGACTCAAAGCGTTCCTTGGCTAGTTGCTTTGAAGGTTCCAGGTTGCATCAGTGGGTAAAAAGCTTCGTTAACGCTTTTAGGTATATATATATATCCTTTTTTTTTCTTGCGATGATTTTTTTAATTTCTTCAATTTAAAAGAATGATAATAATAATAATAATAATAATAATAATAATAATTTATATAGCGCAAATTCAATACAATGTTCAAATTCGCTTCAAAGGGGAGAATTTACACACCAAACCTATGCAATAAAATATATGGGTCACGTTGCTCGTTTAAGAGCTAAGGACTATCGCACCTCTTTACCTGGTCCACTGATTGAGGAACAATACCGTGTGGCTCGAAATGCGCGCGCACTTATTTGCGTGATCACGTAATTTATTATAGGCAGTACAGGATGTGCAGTGCAATACTGAGGACTGAGTCAACCTTAACAGGTAAAAAAAGTCACCATACCTGAAAAAAAGAAAAAACACTGGAAAAAATTGGACTCAACAGGGCCCCCTTCTAATTTACAATCTTAGCTTACACCTTTGAGTGACGAATGGTGGAGAGATCGTTGCAACTTAAACTAAGTCACTTGATTCTTTTATAAGAGACGCCAGATAATTTTGCAACTGTTTTCATGTAAGGACGATCGATACAGAAACATTGGCCGATCCTCTCCGTCTCTCAGGTACTAATTAACTCTCTTTTCGTGGACCAAGATTGAGAATTTGGTCAAAGGACAATCACAACAATTTGCCATCGATTGCACTCGAACGATTCTGGCACCATCGCATGCTGCTCTCTTACTGATTGTTGTAAATCACGCTTTCTATAGCAGCACATTTGATGGCAGATTTTACTTAAAGAAGTCTGAAAAGCTCTAGCTTTGATTAAGTGCATATTATTTCACATGTATGTTTCAGCTTTAGATTTTTCTTGCTTTGATCGTCTTGTCTTAAATGAATTGCCGCCTTTGATTGAAGTGTACTTTGTGATGGACTGGCTTCTGTTTGAGCCGGCTCGCATTCTTGGACCCCTTCCGTGTAGCGTAGCACTTAGGGCGATGCGGAATTTTTCGTTCAACATCATGTAGAGCCATGGGTTTACCGCGCTGTTTGCGTGACCCAATGCGAAACAAAGGGTCATTATGTAATGAGGAAGTTTCTTATGGACGTCAAGACGATATGCAAGTAGCATGTGATAAAAATGAGCTGGGAACCAACAAAGAGCAAACACAGCGGTGATTATGACAAGCATACGCACAACTCTTCGCTTCGTAATCTCGTTACGTTTCTCAGTTTCCGACGACGCTTCACCCGGCATGCTTCGGCGCCAGAGCGTGCAGCAGATCAGAGTATAGAGGATGGTTATAATGATAAGCGGAACGAGGTACATCAGTATAAACAGGTACGTGTAGAACCCTGTCAAGCCAAATTTGCCAAGCTCATCAAACTTTGGGCCACAAAGCAAACTGCCATCCCAATCAACGAGCCGCCAAACAATAGCAACTGGAATGGAAAAAATCATTGCATTCAACCAGATAAACACACTAAGGACTCTAGCCTTTCGAAACGTCTCAAAGCGGCGAAGAGGATGGGCCACTGCAAAGTAACGATCCACTGACATCATCAACAAACTTAATATGGACGCTTCGAGTGTGACGTGGAACGTGAAGAACACAAGCGAACACGTGACATGCCCAAAAATTCCCGTTGCCCATACCCCACCGGTGTACAACGTGTACAGGCTGACTGGCATAGTAATCAGAGCCACTAGAAGGTCAGCGACGGCCATGTTGACAAACAGGAAACCAGTCAGCGACCTTGTTTCTGGTCTTCTTTTGATGATGAAGATCAGAAGAAGATTTCCGACCAGTGCCACAAATATGATTATCGAATACAATATTGTATAGATCGTTTTATGTATAGGGCTGGGTCCATTCAGCTGCCCTATATAAAACAAAAAGAAGTGTTTAGATCGTCCTTTATTGGCTTGTATTGTTTTATTTTTGTTTTTTGTTCGTGTTGTTTGTTTGTTTTTTTACTTGTTATTGCATGATGACATAATCCGTTTTGTTTCTCCCATTTTTTATTTTGTTAGTTTTTGCTATCATTAAACGACCCGTGCGGCCCCGCTTGGGAAAATCACAGTTCAGTCCGTAAGTCATGACCTCGAGTCAAATATTTTCCCGTCCGGCCCTCCCACTCCATCAAAAATACAGAGTATTCTTTTTTATGTCAGGATAATACGAGAAGTCAATGAGGGAATAAAGTAAGTGAGTACATGAAAAAGAAAATGACTCATTCAATTACTTAGGCCATGTCCACATGTATCGGGAAATTTTTTTCGCAAATATTTTTTTGCGGAAATGAAAATTTTCGCGTCCACACGCAGCGTATTGGAATCGTTTTCAGCCGTCCAAACGTATCCAATTGTATCCGGAAATTTTCTGATTTGCTCTAGTGCCCAGTTCTTTTGCCGGAGAGAATCCTGAGATGAGCATGCGCATAATTGCGATTTTGGCGCCATTTCTTTCGCGCCCATAGCTGTGTCGGAGACTTTGTTATTTGTGCGTGTCACATATCAGATGAAGAGTGCGAACATTATGTCAAGAGCTTAGAAGCACCGCCTGTAGTGATTTACGACATTGATCGGTTTACATTATCAACGCAACCTTGAATGACCTTTTCAAAGCAGTAGTTAGCAACCAATCACAATGTAGAGAATACCTTATAAGAGGGTGATTTCTTACAAATTTTCCATAGTAGCTTTTAACACACTCGTTGTAAGAAAGCGAATACGAGAGCGGAATAAAACAGTTTGATTGAGTTTAGTTCGCTAGAAGTCTATCCCTCGTAAACGGGGCAAAGTTTACGAAAGCTGCTGCGAGGTGTGATCAGTCGAAGCTTGTAGTTTATCACTCGAAAAAATGTCTAAATCTACTGAAAAAGTCAAGGAAAAGTATGCTGATATTCCTAATGCTTTATATTTAGGGTAAACTAGGAACACTCAAAACTGTGGTCTTGTTTAATGAATCACAGATATTGAGTGTGTTGAAAGAAAAATTGATGTAAAAAAGTTTTTCAAATTATATTTAGTTATATTTCCTTGGGAATTTGACAAGCACAATTCCTCAGATATTTCTGAAATTTTGGCAAGCATTTACCATAAATCTAGTTGGAAGAAGAACCTACATAGAATAAATACTTGCTAAAAGCAAGGATTTGAGATATTTATTCAATAGTGGAAATACCCTTAAAATGAGAGTTGAAAGTCATAATTCTTAAAACAAGGAATGTAAATCTTATATTTAATGGTGGTATTCTTTAACTGAGGAACTTTCATTGGGGAGTACAAAATTCTTAAAAGCAGAAATCTTGATCCTTACTTTTCAAGGAATTGACTCTCAAATTAAGGAAGAAATCCTTGTTTTGAGTAACCACTGACTTACAATAAGAGTTCCGAAAAACATAAACTTTAGGGTAGTGTGAACATCCTTGTACTTGTTTTCATCCTCGTGCTAATATAAACTCAGAAGTGCGAAACAGGCTTCAAGCGCGTTATTCAGTTGCAACACAAGTATAGGCATAAACATAACAAGCTAATGCGCAGGTGGGCACAGCTGCAACATAAACATGAGCACAAGCGCTCAGTCGATGTTATGTTAAATAAGGACATGGTTGGTATAAGCAGTATAGTGCTTGCTGATTGCCTGAAAGTCTTTCGCTTATGTTAATCCTTACGCTTATGCCAACCAAGTCTTAACTAGAGAGTATAAGCATAAAAAGAAGGCAACGTTTTATAATCTTATGCATATATGCTTATCCTTATGTCCGTGCGTTCCATCCAGCGCATAAGCTTTTACATGCCTATCCCTATGCTTGCATCGCAAGTAAATACTGAGCTCAATATTGGAACAATAGTTTTATGATAAACAAAACAGCACCCTTTTAAACTTTCATTCCACAAACCTTTACAGTAAAATCTGGAACAGTGATTGTCTTGCACTAAATCCTAATCAGCCCATATTTTCTGTCTTTGAGGCCTAATTTAGTTTCACATCATATTCCTCGTAATGCTCATTTCCCAGTCTAACGATTCATACCCTTGTATGGAAATCAAACACCCATTCCTATTGACGGCACAAATTACATTGGCTCACAATGTAATTTGTGCCGTCAATTTGATTCACGAGTTGGCTCACAGAGCCTTTGATCTCTTAACTCATATGGTAATTAGCGTTCTCTATCTGGTGATTTGCAGATTTAGACATAAAAACTAGAAAATTTGAACCAAAAAGGATTTAACGGAGTGCAGGAAGAATCTCCCGACAAATGAGTTCAGCGCGTGATTTTCGGAAATACTTTCCAACCAATCCACTGACAATAATTCTTTTAGTTTGCTATCCCTCTTTAAATCGGTTTTAATCATATCTATTTCGATGTTCTTTCAGTTGTCTTTTGTGAGATGCCTATAATATGAGAGAGGCCATTGAAGCACACGACCATGGCATTAGTAGTATTGAAGAAAGCTCTTTTGATAATCATTGAATTAATGAGACATTATCGATGCAACAAATGGCATTGATTGAATCGAGAGCTCATTCAAAATGCTAAGGCTAAGGACGCACAACTGCATTTGAAAGCCCCGTAACCGTCAGAAGAAGGCGGTAACACAAAGACTTTTAACGCATACTAAATAAAATGTTTCGGGTGAAAGTCATTAACGCGCAGTTGTCAAATGTTGACGGAATCAACTTGAGAATTTTAGATAAGCAGGTTATCGCGTGGCGCCTTTTGATCGACAAACATATGGTGTTGAATGCAATTTAATTTGGCCTAGATCCAATTAGGTTATTTACACTGAAAGGTTTTCAAGTTGGAAGTTAATTTGCTAACTAACTTCGCGCTGAACGCAAAGATGAACAGATTAAATAAGCGTCAAAGCGGATGATGAACTTTCTCTGAATTTTAATGGTCGACACCACAGAAAAACAATGTTTCAACGTCCTGGGCAGGCCGTGCCTTCCTTTCATTTAACGCTGAGACAACTACAGCTAAATGACAGCATTCTATGACTGCATACCGTGGTGAGCTCGGTATGGGACGAGCTTCCATCTCAAAGCTCCCCAATTTTACGTTGATAAATAGCACCATAATTAGTTCAATTTTCAACAGCTCATTTCGCTTTCTTCCCATTCGAACCATTTCGCTCCGACGAAGGGCTAACGCTCGAAACGTCAGCTTTTGTAATCGTTACGGTGGCCAATTTACCATTTCAACATTGTTGATATATCCAAATTATTTCGTTACTCCCACCGACGCAGCCCCAAAAAGTCTCTTTCGAAACTATCAGCCTTTATTCATTTCATAGATCGACAACCGTTGAATTACTCGTTGTTCAGTTAACATAAATCTCGAGTGACCCTCTTCTATCTAGTACAAACTATATAATAAATTGAGTATTTGACGAAAACATGTTTCAAAATTTAGTTAAACAAGTTTAAGACAGACAAAATGCACCTATAAAAACCTTCTGTCACGACTACAAGAGTCGAATTAAATAGAAACATTTGCTATATCAGCCTTGGAAAAATAATAAAAACGAGCAGACGATAGCTGAATAGGGAATCAAAACTATGGACATGACAGCCTAAGTTATTCATTGTTTTCTTTAAAGGCTCTTTATCCCTCACGCAAAATGTCCTTGATTTGACTCACCGTCAGAGGAGTTCACTGTACCAGGAGAAGTCACTGTATCGTTTTCATGAGTCTCCATATTCTCCCTTGAATCAGAAACAAGACATTAAAATGCGCTCCCACACCTAGAACTGACAAATAAGTCGAATCGAATTTAGCACTTTTAATCTTGGTCATCTGGAACACGATAGCGCTAAGGCCTTGCTTACGTGTTTGCCAAGTTAATCTAATTAGCGAACCTGTCACTCAAATAAATACGTCTAGAGATTAGGATGATAAAGATCTACCACAAAAGTTTGCCCTAGAAAGATATTCGCGCTGTATATGTTGCTCGAAATATAAACCCACAAAACTGTGAATTTAGAAGCGTATAGCTCAATTCGTAAATGATGCTGTAAGCTGAAAGAGTGTGCCCAAATTTCACACTTCGTATTAACGACGGCGGAATTATCCGTAAAGTAGGCTCAATTTTAAACTGCCTATTTCGAGTACTTACAAGGTTGCTTTCGGTGCAGAACAAAACTTTTCTTACCTCGGCTGTTAAGTGCTTGTCGTTTTTTTTCGGACGAACATGATGAAATGTTGGCATGTTATGGGGTCTTTCATGATCTGTTTACCATAGTTATCACCGTGTTCAGAAAAAGTCGTAAGAACAGACCTATTATATTCTTGTTCAAAGAAAACAACGGGGTCTTTTTAGACATTTGCCAAACCACCAGTGGTTTAAAACAGTTCTGACACGATGTTTGCTTTTCACAAATATCCAAGTCAGATTATATTTTGTTATGTTAATGACCAGCTGTGGCTCATTAATATCCTATTTGGGCATCAATAACAATGCATGACGCCGTAATTTAATCTAGCTCTGAGAAACACGGCATCTCTGATAACAAACATTGCTTCTTTGATGGATTGTAATTTTAAGCTGTTATATTGTTTGCTATAGAATCGAATTAAAAAACTCGAGAGCATAGAGGGTAAATTTCAAATATTCCTTATCAATGCTTCCCTTTCAGCAAGAAGAGAAGACGTCACACTCTGATTACAAGAGCTATAATGTTCTTAAAGTCTAAGATCAGTTTAATTCTACTGAGGCAGTATTACTATTTCTTTTTCCTATTCTTCCTTATTCCGTCAAATTTCTATGTAAATTATTAGTGGATTAACAAGTGTTCAGCTTCCAATGAATTTTGCTGTAAAAGCCACTAGAATATCTTTAAAAAATAATCAATTGATTTTTTTTTGGTTAAGGACACATTTCGCCCTAATAAATCCAATGGCTCATTAATCGGCCAACTGCAATAAGTCTTGAGACTGATTATTTTTAAGATGATTAAGGAACGGAAAGTAGTTGGCTCATGATTGAGTTGAGGCCCATCTTTCCTGAAATTAACCATCATTAAAAATATTTGCAGTTAGTAAGAATGACACGCACCTTTTCCTCTTTCTTCCTTTTTTCTTCTTTTTTTTTTTCCACTTTCAAGATAAAAACTTAACTTTTCACAACCTAATCGGAGGGGAAAAAATGGACTTAATCTTATTTACTTGTTAAATATTGAAAGTCTTGTGAAAAAATGACAACTTTCCTTTTACAGTTATTGGTTATGCTCTCTACAAAGAATTAATGACTGAGTAATGAAGTTAGTTGTTAAGCAAGTGAATTAATAAACCACTAGTTTTACTTACACAGGAAAGTGTAGAAGATAAGGTTGCAGCAAATTCTTGACTCTTATCATGTTAGAAAGGCACCGCATTATTCTTGCCGGAAGAACAGTATAAATCACACTCGATTCGTTGGTAAGAATGAGCGTAAATGTGGTATGTAATACAAACATGCTGTAAATAGTATGTAACCATAAAATTTACGTGATAAGGTCGATAAAGGTGAAAATTGATTTTAAAAACTCAGGTAAATCCTGCGGATTTTTTAATTTTCACTTCGTGTAGCTCCGAAAGCTTTCAAAAGGCCCTAAGTAAACAATGAATACCTGAACTCTTTCGCGTTCAATTTTTATTTAAAAATGCAGTGACAAATTGATCAGCCCCCAATTTAACCCACGAAAAAAAGAACGCAGTAAAGAAAAAAACACACATCTTCATATAATCTATTCAGACTTGCTATTCTAATTAATGTATTGACGACAATCAACAATACTGCCGAACAAAGGTATGATGTCAACAATCTTTAAACCACCTCGAAGTGGTTCAGTGCACTTTTAACCCAAATTATGATGGACGTCGAGGTGATGGTTTCCATAAAAGTTACCAAAATAAAACGGCTCAGAAGACTCGGAAGAGAAATTTCTGAAGAGCAATAAAAATGCCAGCAACCTAGAGTCAACGTGAATGACACTGAAAACTAAGGAAAACTGACATACGAATCATTACTGTACATAACATCGAAGTCTTGGGATCGATACAGGTAATTCGGTCGAGCACAAGATATCAATTCATAATGGCTTCCTAGAAGCGAACGATCACAATATAGTTTTGAGGGGTTCAAACGCAGTGGGTCTTGTATCGAATACCAGTATGTTTAAAATCAAGAACTGAAATTATCACTTCGAGTCTCAGTTTAAACAACACCCGTTCTAGTAAAAAAATGTTCGTTCATCAAGGCTCTCTGTGCGTCACGCATAATTCGGCTCTAAAACCCTTATGATTGTCTTCGTATCTAATCAGTTGATCGCTGCATGCATTAACAAAAAAGGAAAGAAAAAGAAAATAACATTGGCCTCTTATTCTCGACTCACCTAAAACTCGGAGGATAAACTCGCCTTGCCACCGAAAGTAAGAGACAAACAAATGACCTCAAGGAATAACTTCTCTCCTCAGAATCTGTAGTTTTTTTACCTTGTCACGATGTGTGTTGTACTTCTGGTGTCTCCGTAAACGAAAAACAAGCATAGTTAAACCATTTCATCAGGGACGGACGCTTTTGAAAGACGTTCTACGAGGTCAGTGACCTAACGAGAAATCGTTTAAAAGTGATGGCTGATTCAACTTATGAAATGGAAAACAAAATTTGATATATCCACGTCATTTATTCATATTCAGTAAATAAAAGCAATGACTCAAACATTTCAGTTTCTAATTCATTTTAAAAAATGATCTAATGGAGGTTGCAAGCCCATGAATAAGTGCACTATCATATATGCCTAAAGGAATTATAGCCTAAGAGATCTCCTTTTCCCCATATACAAGTAATTTTCCGGAGTTTCGTTGGCAGCAAGTTGAACATTGCAGGTTGTTTTCTTATGAATTGTTTACTGAAACCGAAACCTTAATTCTCACGCTGCAATCTTACTGTATTCACAACGCTCAAATTAAAAAATATAAAGATTGAAAATTTCAATTCTCTTAGAAATGATTAGACGCATTAGAAGCTGTCGGGTTGGTGGGCATACTTGTTTAGCGATCCGCTTAATTTAAGGGGTTGAAATTTTATTTCTTATCTTCTTTAGCCAACTTAAATTCAAAAAGTTGCTATTTTTGAGCCTTGTTTAAACATCCTCACTGGCAGGAAAAGATGTCAAGGATATTTCATATTAATTTTTTTTAATCATATCCTGTACCGAGTATTTTGACGGATGGTGACGGGAAAATATATCAGGTCATTTCTCTGTCATTTTTTCCTTAAAAGAAACATATGATGTTCAGTGGGAGTTTGGCCACTAATGGGTAATTTGCGATTTTGGCCCACCAAAGGCCGATTTGGGATTCTGGCCACTTGCAGCCGATTTGTGATTTAGCACCTGGTAACTGATTTGTTCCAGAAAGAAAAATGAATAAAGGGGTAAGTTGGGGGAAGTAACAGGATAATTTGGTTTTGTCAACTGTAAACTGGCTACCGTAAAGATTTTCAAAGCTAGCTGACGTTTCGAGCATTAGCCCTTCGTCAGAGTGAATGGAGGAATAACGGACTGTGTGCGTGTTTATATGCAGAAAATGGAGCTATGCTATTAATGTTTCCCGTATTTTCAACTCCAATCGCAAAAAATACGACTAAGAAACCTCGTCACAATGAAACTGAACCTGAACTAGCCTGTTGATGATCCAAATTCCCGAGTCCTTGTTCCAGCTTCCCTACTGTATAGACCCCATATCAGCATGATCTTGCATAGCCCGAAGCTCTGCATGTCATCCATTCTTAGCATATGTTAAACAATAACGTCACGATTTACACCCATATTCACCTCGCCTGGGTTGCTTCAGCACGCAAGCTGTTAAGTGTAAATTTCAGTTCGCGTATATCCATCGCAAGAGTACTTAAAGTAAAATCAACCTTTCAAGGGAATTATGAACAACACAACTTACGGTAAGTCGAAGCTTAAACTACGCCTAAGAAACATAATCACATCACGTGACATTTCCATTGAGTCGCAAAATCTTGAAACAACGCTCAATATCGTTCTCTTTTATTCGGCAATTGCGCAGTTGAAATGATATCCCACCCTGTGAAAGGGCAACCGTGAGCAATGGACCTTTAGTTCAAATGTACGTAAGCAAAACAAGATATAACATGAACAACTATCAAACAGATCTCAGCAAAAAATCTTCGAGCGATTTGCTTGACTGTCTATTCTAATGAGCTGTATTGTAGTAAGATAAGAGCAGGACCTGGTTGTTCAAAGAGCGGTTTACGCTATACAACAGATAAATCGCTTCCCGGCGGATAAGGGTTACCAAAGCGTACTGCGCTATTAACCGGATAGAGATTTATTTATTTATTTATTTATTTAGTGGATAGCGTTATTCACCCTTCGAACAACCAGGGCCAGCTGTTGGAGTTTAATTTACGCGCTGGTCGCCTTTTAAACTGAGTTTCCTCTTCAATCATTTACCACAATAATTGTTTCATTAAACAAGCGTTATTTTGTGAAGAGACACGGTCAGAATCTTAAATTTTCTCTATTCAACTCCGAAGCTTTTTTCCTTTTTTTGAAATTTTTTGAAATTTTTTATCATATATTCCTCTTCGGTGAGTGTGTGTGTATGTGACTGAATGATTATTAATGTTGAAGTGAACAATAAAATAAAAAGAAAAAGATCCAAATTAACCAAAAACCAAAACAAAACAAACCAAACAGACAAAAACAGACCCGGCCCTTGCAGAAAAATAAGATGCTTCCTGTGACTGGAGGTTCTGAGCAGTTCAACTAATGCAAAGAAAGATTGAACGACAATTTGGTAGACCTCATACATTGCTCTCACAGTTCGTCACTAAACAATGGAGTAGCAGACCGCGGAACCTCTGGAACGGGCAGAAACTCCGGAATAGCAATTTGCATGTACGTCTTAAACTATTCAACTGTAACTGTTCAACAGATTTAGCTTTGTGAACGCTTGGGTCTCCTTGCAGACTTCAGCAATTGTCATTAAAACGGTTGAGTGCGTAAAGTAAACCCTAAGGTGCGAGAGTTAAGAATAGCACACT